TCTGCTTCTGTGCACCCATATCTCTGTCTTACTGAATGACCCCAAATTTTCTCAGTAATTATGTAGGAAATTAATACAATCAATTTTCATTTAATATCTAATTGTCATCTGGTAGAAATAATCAACACAGAATAAAACTGACAACAAATGAAACTGTACATGGCAAAAATATGCTATTGACTAAGACAGGGCAGAAGGCCTACATTTTCTTGATAAAATTCAGATACCCAAAACTTGACCTTGGGGAAATTTGGCTTTGGAAAAGTGAGACAAACATCACAATGGTTGAAACTAAATGAGGAAAGATCGATGTGGTTCAAGAAACTAATCTATTCTCAAAAACACAAGCGATAAGACAAGTTGGCAAGCTGCGGAGCAAAGGGAACCCTGGCGTGCTATTGGTGGGAATGCAAATTGGTGCATCCACTCGGGGGAATAGCACGGAGGTTCCTCAAAGAACTACGACCTTCCATGGGATCTCACGATCTCACTTTCTGAAATGAAATAGGTATCTTAAACATATCTGCACTCCCATGATCACAGCAGCCTTATTTATAATACAAGGTACAGAAACAAACTAAGTGTACACGGATAGATGAATGAATAAGAACCATGTGGGGCACATGCACATATACACACTCAACTGAATATTATTCAAGTATAAAAAAGGAGAAAATTCTACCATTTGCAACAATATGGACAAACCTAGAGGACATTACGCTAAGTGAAAGAAGCCAGACACGGGAAGACAAACACTATAATTTCAGATATGGAGTCTAGAAAAGCCAAACTCATAGTACCAGAGAAGAGACTGGTAGTTGCCAGGGGCTGGGGATCAGAGAAAATGGGGAGATTTTCAGTTTTAAGATGAGTAAGTTCTGGAGATCTAATGTATAGCATGATGACTAGTTAATCATACTGTACTATATGTCTGAAATATGCTAAGAGAATAGATCTTAACTGTTCTAACCACACACACACACACACACACACACACAAAGTAACTATGATGGATGTGCTAATGAACTTGATTATGGTAATCACTTCACAATATTATGTATACTTAAAAAATCATGTTACACAACCCAAAAATATACAAATTTTTGTCAGTTGTACAATTTTGTCAGTTAATAAAGCTGGAAAATATTGATAATGTGTTCAATTTGTGTAAAAAAACAACACACATAGGAAAAGGAGCCCATAAGGACCTACTGCATAACACAGGGAACTATATTCAACACTTTGTGGTAACCTATCAACGGGGAAGAATTTTGAATAGATATATATATGCATAACTGAACCACTTTGCTATATACTTGAATCTAACAACATTGTGAATCAACTGTACTTCAATAAAAATATTTTAAAAAGAATGGAATTTTCCATGGCTGGAAAAGAAAAGAACAATTGTAATGAAAAGAAATTTCAATGAAATAAACAGAGCAAGTATTGAAAATGGTTTCATTCCATTGTATAGAATATCAATCAAGGGATGAAATTGGCTTAAGATTGTTCTGGAAAATATCTGCTTGATGAAAATTTATCCATNAAAAAAAAAAAAAAAACTTGACACCAAATATCTTGAGGGCAGGCAGGAGTGTTGTATTGTCTCTATATTTTTAATGCTCAGTAAAAAGCTGATACAGTTCTTTTGGGATAAATGAGGGGATGAATGGGGAAAAGAAAACCGTGAATGTGTAAGTAAAAATACCTGCCCTTATTTAAACATTTGGAATCTATCTAGTCTGGCTTGGCAGTTTTCAACCTTGGCTGCACATTCCAAACATTTAGGGAGCTGTTTTTTTTTTAACTTTTTTTTTCATGTTTTTTTTTGCCACACTGAACAGCATGTGGGATCTTAGATCCCCAACTAGGGATCAAACCCATGTCCTCTGCACCAGAAGTGCAGAGTCTTAACCACTGGACCATGAGGGAAGTCCCTTTTTCTTAATTTTTTTAATTGATTTATTATATACAGAAAAGTATATGTATTTTGGGGGGCTTTTAAAAACTGCTATGCGCAGTAGTGGTTAAAATCAAGAACACGGACAATACCTCGCATTGTGAACAAAACAGATCAAGTGAGCAGTCACAGATGTTGCTAGTGCGGATGCAAATAACACAACTATCTTGAGAAACAGCTTGGAAGTTTCTTATAAAATGTTACACAGATACTTAGCATATGAACAGAAATTCCATTTCTAGGTGTTTCCCCAAGAGAATGAAAATACATATCCACACAAAGCATTTACATGAATGTTGACAGAAGCCTTATTCATAACCATCCATAAACTGGAAACAGCCCAGCTATCCATCAACAACAGGTGAGTAGACACACAAAGCGTGCTGCCTCTACACAATGAAATACTAATTAGCGGGGGAAAAAAAGAATGAACCGCTGAAACATGTAGCGACAAGATGACTCTCATAAACACGATGCCGTCCAAGAAAGCAGACTGCTCAATCCCTTTCACACGAAATTCTAGTGCTTACGGAGTCACAACCACAGTGACCAGTCAGGTCGGTGGTCACCTGGGGATGGGACAGGGGCGTTTGGGGATGACAGAAATGCTCTACACTTGATTAGTGCTTACAGTGGGACCAACATTTGCCAAAGCTCTATCTGTTCAGCTAAAATAGGCGCAGTTTACTGTATGCTAATTACACTGCAAAAAAGTTGATTTAAAAGAAAACTGCTGGGCTTCTCTGGTAGCTCAGTGGTAAAGAATATGCCTGCCAGTGTAGGAGACATTCCACCCCTGATTAGAGAAGTTCCCACATGCTGTGGAGCACACTATTGAACTACTAAGCCCGTGGGTCACACTATTGAACCGCTGAGCCCGTGGGTCACACTCCTGAACCGCTGAGCCCGTGGGTCACACTCCTGAACCACTTATCCGGTGCGTCACACTATTGAACTACTGAGCTCACGTGTCACACTCCTGAACCGCTGAGCCCATGGGTCACACTTCTGAACTACTAAAGCTCACACCCCTTCGAGCCTGAGCTCCACAACAAGAGAAGCCTCCAGAAGGAGAAGCCTGCACACAGCAACGAGAGGATGGCCCCGCTCGCCACGACTGGAGAAAAGCCTGTTCAGGGAAGAAGACCCAGCACAGCCAAAGCTAAATAAATAAAAAATTAAAAACAAGGAAACTATTGCAAGACAATAAAATGGTAAGCAAAAAAAGGGAAGACATTGTCTCCAGGCAGTCAGAAGCACAACTGAAGCAGATGCCCACATTTAAGTTTATAAGAAACTTTAAACAATATAGTAGCACAAATGTGACAGGAGACATGATGATGCTACCTGACCCTTGTGTGTTTCTGGAAAACAGTCTCGAAGTTTCCTTACAAATTTTAAATGAACCTCTCAAGGCCCCAGCTGATCCCAGGTATTCACAGAAAAGAAAGAAAATCATATGTCCATAGAAAGACTTGTATACAGATGTTCATAGCAGCTTTATTGTAACAACCCCAAACAGGAAACAATCCAAGCATCCATCAACAGAGGAATGGATAAACAAATTGTGGTAAATTTATATCATGGAATTGTTGTTTAGTCACCAAGTTGTGTCTTGGCTCTCTCATGACCCAATGAACTGTAGCCCACCAGGCTCCTCTGCCCATGAGAGTCTCCAGGCAAGAATACTGGAGTGCGTTTCCATGCCCTCCTCCAGGGGATCTTCCTGAGCCAGTGATCAAACCTCCATCTCCTNTCTTTTCTGGCTTGTAGACTTTCTGTTGAGAAATCAGCTGATTTTTTAAAAATATTTTTAAATGGTTAAAGAAATCAAAAGAATATTTCATGACATGAAAATTAAAAGAACTTCAAATGTGTCTACAGATAAAATTTATTGGAACACAGCTACATTCATTCATTTACATAGTCCTGGCTGCTTTTGTGCTAGAAGAGCAGAGTTGAATACTTGCAACAGAGAGGCAACACCTAAAAATTTACTATCTGGCCCTTTTTGGAAAAAATTTGCTGACTTTGCCAGAGATGGGACTGGATAACTCATCTTGTGAATTTATGGACCTCTATTTCTCACTTGAATGTAGATGCTGTTATGGTGGATAAAGCACAAATTCACTTAGATATAATATTAATACAGTGGACAAGCCAGGCTTCAGCAATACGTGAACCGTGAACTTCCAGTGTGAAATGTGAAACCCAAACGACTCCATTTTAGGATAGCACCGCCATTTTGAGTAAAACCCCCTCCCGAGGAGAGAAAACGAAATTTAAAGAGAAAGAAACTCAACGAGCCAATCAGGGGAGGACAGGAAAGTCCCTCCCCCCTCACTCTAACCCACCAATCAGTAGCTAACAAGACACCCTTAGTTGAAGAATTAACCAATCCCCTTAAGCTTCCCGTCTCGCGTCCCCTGCTGCACAGTATAAACACGATTCTCCGCTTTCAGGGGGGGCTCCTTCGCCATGTGTGAAGAGAGTGCCTGCTCCAGCTTGTAATAAAGTTCCTCACTGTTTTTGCATTGATCCGCGGCTCCTGTGGTGTTTGGTGGGATTCCGCGATCCGGGTACAACATTTTGGGGGCTCGTCCGGGATCCCCAGACCCTCCAGGACCCGCGCTTCGGAGGACGAATGGCTGGTAAGCAGTAGCAGCAGCTGCATCTGTGTCTGTAGGGGGGCCCCGCTCTGTAGCTGGACTTAAACCTAGGCGGACGCGCCCATACGGTCTCCAGCAGGGAGCAGGAAGAGACGTCTTCCAGCTCCCACTCAGTAGTCCCGAGCGCGCGCGCGTGTATGTGTGTGTGTGTGTGTGTATACATGTGATATACATCTGATAAACTCTGTACCTTTTGTTCTCGGAATTGCGTGCTCTGTTATTTGTCTGGTGTGTCGTCTTGTTTGTTCATTGTGTGGCTGACCGATGATGGGACAGACCCGATCTGGATGCTCTCCGCTTACCTTAATAACTGACCATTTCAAAGAAGTTAGAGCTCGAGCTCATAATCTGAGTGTAGAAATTAAAAAATCTCGGATGGTTATCTTTTTCAGTGCTGAATGGCCCAGCTTTAACATAGGCTGGCCTCCTGAAGGGACTTTGGACTTAAGGACCGTCAGGAGAGTCCGAGAAATCATCCTCAGACCTTGAAGCGGACATCCAGACCAGGTTCCATATATCCTGGCTTGGGAAGATCTAATAGTCAGCCCAACCCCTTGGATCCAACCCTTTTTACCTCCACAGGCAGCAGCAGCCACGGAGATCCTAGTGGCTGAAGAAAAGAAAAAGCCTCCGGCTGCCCCCTCTGCCCCTGTTTTACAGGAAGACTCCACTCTTCTTGATCTCCTTATCACACCTCCACCATATTCTCTCCCCCCTCCTATTCAGCCCGAACCCCCACTTCCCCAACCTTCTCCAGAACGGCTGGGGGAGGACCTGCAATGAACACCGGAAATCGTAGGGCCGCCTCCCCCGGGGGGCCTGCTGACTCTACGTCAGCAGCTATTCTTCCTCTCAGGGCTCTGGGTCCCCCTGATGCTGATGGAAATCAGCCCCTTCAATATTGGCCCTTTTCTACTAGTGATTTATACAATTGGAGGACCCAGAACACCCCATTTTCAGAGAGACCTAAAGAGCTTATTAATTCGTTAGAAACTGTTCTGTTTACTCATCAACCTATGTGGGACGATTGTCAGCAGCTACTCCAGATATTATTCACCACAGAAGAAAGAGAAAGGATCCAGCTAGAGGCGCGGAAGCTGGTGCCAGGAGATAATGGGCAACCCACGGCCAACCCTGCGATGATTAACTCTTCCTTCCCTTTGTCTAGGCCACAGTGGGACTATAACACGGCGGAAGGGAAGGAGCGGCTGCCGGTCTACCGCCAGACTCTGTTGGGGGGTCTCAAAGCGGCCGCTCGCAGGCCCACTAACTTGGCTAAGGTAGGCAATGTACAACAAGGGAGAGAACAGAGTCCAGTGGCGTTCCTGGAGAGACTGATGGACGCATTCCGTCAGTGCACTCCCATGGAGGCAGAGGATACTAGGTCAGCCTTAATGATGCATTTTATTAATCAGTCAGCCCCAGATATAAGGAAGAAGTTACAGAAGATAGATAGATTAGGTGAAAAATCTATTCAAGATCTGATGGCAGTAGCAGAGAAAGTTTATAATAACCGAGAGACACCTGAAGAGAAGCAGACTAGAGCCGCCGACCGGCAGACCCGAAACATGGCTCGCATTCTCCTGGGCGCCACCAGCGCCCAGCCGAACGAACGAGAGAAGAGATTGAGACAAGTGGCAGAAGGTGAGCCAAAACCTAACCCCCAAGGAAAACCAAAGTTAGGACAGAACCAGTGTGCATATTGTAAAAAAGAAGGACATTGGGTTAGGTTAAGGATTGCCCTAAAAAGTTCAAGCAAGGAACCAACGTTTTGGCTCTGGGGGACCTGAGTGACTAGGGGAGACGGGGCCTGGAACCCCTCCCCGAGCCCAGGGTAACCTTAAAAGTGGAGGGGATCCCAGTTGAGTTTTTAGTGGACACTGGGGCCGAACATTCTGTCCTGCTTGACCCACGGGGAAAACTCTCTTCAAAGACTTCATGGGTGCAGGGGGCCACTGGTATGAAAAAATATTCATGGACTACCCGAAGAAACCTAGATCTGAGCACGGGCTGGGTATCCCACTCTTTCATGGTCATACCAGACTGCCCCTACCCACTGCTTGGCCGAGACTTGCTAACCAAAATAGGAGCCCAGATCCATGTCTCACCTGAGGGTGTGAATGCTATGGACCCGGCCGGTAGGCCGGTACAAGTTCTCACCATGCAAATAGAAGATGAGTACAGATTACACCAAGGCCCCTCCGAAGTAGCCCCTGAGGCTGATATGCAACAGTGGCTTAATGAATACCCACAAGCCTGGGCAGAAACCGGAGGTCCAGGCTTAGCCAAACATCGGCCCCCAATCTATATTGAATTAAAACCAGGAGCAGAGGCCGTCAGAGTCAAGCAATATCAGATGCCA